GTCAAATAACTATTAATCCAATTCAAAGCCACTCCTCTGATCCCGTATTTTTCTAGCTTGCACATTAATAATTCATGATTGATTGTGTCAAATGCCTTTTTTAGGTCAATAAATATTCCTATCGTGTATTTCTTTTCATCCATGGCACTTGTAATGTCCTCCATCAGGTCAGTAATGGCCAAGGATGTCGACCGGTTCGACCTAAAACCATACTGACAATCAGAGAGGATTTTATGTTTATCAATAAATGTATCTAATCTATTATTGAAGAGTTTTTCCAGAATTTTTGAAAATTGTGACAACAGAGAAACCGGCCTGTAATTCGTGAAGTTGTGTTTATCACCAGATTTATACAGAGGGATAACCTTTGCAATTTTCATATTGTTAGGGAACTGCCCAAGTCGACATGACATGTTAAAAATGTATGTTAATGGTTTGCCTATCTCCTTAATTACCCATTTTACAGTTGTCATGGTGATACCATCACTATCACTTGATGTTTTGTTATCACATTTATTTACTATCTCTATAATTTCCTTTTCAACTACTGGCTTCAAGAACATAGAACTCATGTTCATTTCAATTGTATTATTATTTCTAGTGACGGCTGAAGCATCTGTACAAATGCTTCTTCCTAAACTAGGGCCAACATCCACAAAAAATCTGTTAAACGTATCAGCTGCATTCTCCATTTTGGTGACCGTTGTATCATTATCCATAAAGTATTGGGGGTAGTTACTCTTACTGGAGCTGTTTCTAATCAACTTATTTAATATATTCCAAGTACCTCTCATGTTATTTTTATTATCCTCTAATACTTTAGAGTAATATAGTTTCTTACATCTCCTCAAAATCTCAATTAATTTGTTCTTATATGACTTACATTTTTCTTCCGCCTTCTTTGATCTGTCCTTTATGAATTCCTTATATAACGCATTCTTCTTTTTACATGCATTCTGTAATCCCTTACTCATCCACGGTTTCCCACTAATTCCTTTTGTTTTTATACTGCTTACGAGGACAGTTCCTGTCATATACTTTCATGAATATATTTAAAAATTGCTCATATGCTTT